TTCGGCCTCTGAGGCTGACACCCTAGTTGCTGAGAATCCTCTGCCTGGTCTCCTTGGCCAAATGCCTCACATCAGTTTCCATATTTCCTAAACCTAACTGAAACTCTTCCTAACTCCATGTTTTCCTAGATGAATTAAATTACACAGAGTCACTGTTAATACAATGGGTAAATAGAACTAAAGTTAGCAGGCTAGGTAGGGCAACTCAATCAGTGAAGTGCTTTCTGTGCAAGCATGAGGACCGATGTTTGACCTTCAGAGCCCACATTAAAGTTTGGGCATGGTGGGGCATGCATACAGCTCCAGTGCTGGGGAGAAGAGTGAGGAAAATCCCTGGGGCTTGGTGTCAGCCTGCTTAGTTTGATTGATGGGCTCCAGACAAACAAGAGACCCTGATTCAGGTCAGGAGCCATTGAGGGCACCGACACCTGACATCAACCTCTGACTCTGAATGTAAATTCACATATATGCATGCAAACACATACATACATGGGTACACCCATATTAACATGCACACATGCATACACATGTGCGCGTGCACACACACAAGCCGTATGTCTGTCATACTAACCACAGAACTGTGCTCTGCTCTTCGATTCTTGAGTTTAGAGATCCTGTGATATCTTTCTCTTCTGTAAGATTGAAATGTGAACTCTGCAAGCTGCCTGAGGGTCAAATCAGCTATTTAAGGCTGTGGAAGGCCTGGAGGACAATCATCAGAAACATATCAAGCTGATGGGACATCTGAAGATGTTTGCCAGTGCATCTATATTTTTAGAAGACATGGATGGATTATCTACCTGTCAGTATCAACCCAGGAGTCTTCCTCTAATAATTAAGGACAGATGGATGAGTCAAGTACAGTAAAACAGTGATTTGTCTTAAATAGTTTACATCAGAAGGGAATTTCTGCTGTTAAATAAGTGCCAATGCTCATGCAAGGAGCCCTGCCCAAAGGGTTCTGTTGCTCTTTTGAGAAACCGTTGAGTACTTCCTACTCATTAAACTTAAGGAGATGATATCTTATTTTATATTTTAAATGGACTCATAGCCTCCTGCTATGCAAAAGAACAGAACAGAGTAATCTGTGTGCACACTTGTGTATGCAAGTGCACGTGCAAATGGAGGCCAGAGGTCAAGGTCAATCAGTCTCCAATTTATTTTTCAAAACAATGCCTTCCAATGAACCTGGATGTAATCTGGACTGACTGACCCACAAGTGCTGGGGTTGCATGCACACACCACCATACCTGGCTTTTATATGTGGGTGTATATAAAGCAAGGCGCTCCTGCTCCTACAGCAAGTTCTTTCCTGTCTTAGCTATCTCCTCAGATGCACACACACAAGGTGATCTTAAAGCAAAAATGTTTTGAAGTCTATGAGGGAATGGGATTTGAAGAGCTGTGTCTAATCAACATCTGAGAGAACCCATATCTTTCCTGAATTTTTGAATTTATAAATGACATTTAAGGCATTCCATGGGCATGATATATAAAAATAGATAGCTTATCTTTTAATTGCACTTGAGAGATGTTATAAGTGAAGTCTACTTGAAAGAAGCAAACACTTTCCCTGCTAGTTTAATTTATGCATTCAGACTCTTATTATGTATTGTATGTCGTGAAAAAATATGAATAAATTTCTTTGTATCTTTGTGAATGTATATGAGTAGCTCCATTTTAATGGTTTTTATATCTCTTCATTATTTCCCCCTCAACTTGTTAATAAAAAAATCACTGTGATTAATTGAGACTGGAAGTTGAAAGTGACCACGTGGTTCTCTATATTCTGTCTTCGGGTTATGTTGTATAAATATTCATTATTTCATTATAGGCAGACCAAGAACAATGGCAATCCTTTTATTGTATGGTTTTGAACTCACATTTTGTTTGATTTCAGATATGATCTTTTTTTTGTAAGGCTAGTTTTTCAGCAGGTGTTTATTTAAGATGACTTCATTGTGGGTGGCTTTTCATTTTTTTAATGTAAAATTAAGCTGCCAAAGCAATAGACTAAAAAATGTTTGACTTCAACAGTCTAACTATTGTAATTATATATTTTAAATGAGTTTAAATGTAGCTAGCTCACATTTTACCATAAAAAAATCACAAATAAACACAAACCCAACTCTGTAAGTCCTCTTGCCAATTGCTGCTGTGAGTTACATCTTCCCCGAACACAAAGAAATATATGGATGCTAATAAAGAAACACATGGTCAATAGTCAGAGGGGAAAGTAGCATAATAGCAAGAGCAATACCTAAGTATAATTTCTGTCTCAAACTAGTGTGATAACTTTGACATTTTCCCAAGTTTATTTTAGAAGGATTTAAAATGGGATATTACTTACTTTTTTTTTCTTTTTTGCTATGACAAAATGCCTAACACAAGTAACTTAAAGGTTTTATTTTGGCTCACAGTTTGAGGGAGTACAGTCCAACATGGTGGGGAAGGCGTGGCTGCAGGAATATGACGCGGTCACATGGCACCCACAGGCAGTAAGTAGAGAAAAGCAAATGCTGGTGCTGAGCTTGCCCCTTCTTATCTCCTCAGTGCAGGGCCACAGCCCATGGGCTAGTGCTGCCCACACTGCAGTGAGTCTTTGTGCCTTCATCAAACCATCTCTGAAAAACCCCTCAAAGGCATAAAAAAATCAAGTTTCCAATGAAAGTTAATTTTCATAGAGGCTCCCTTCCTTTGGTCTTTGAGTCAAAATTACATAGTCACACAGTAGGGACCTTAGACCATGTCACAATGATGTTTTTTGCAACTTCAAAATCAGGAAAGAAATTCAGAATGCTGGATTAATGCCCATAGGCTTACATAATCCATGTCCTCACCTGCATGTACTCCCAGAGTTTGTGGATCCCTTGACTAATCCATACATTAGACTGACTAAATATGAAACCAGTTGGCGTTTGCTTCTCCTCCTGAAAAAGGATTTGGTTTGGTCAGTGTGTGACCTTTGCAACCTCTATGATGGAGGGAGGCTTCCTGAGCTCTCGTGGCACATTGTTGAGAACCAACTCAGTTTAAGGGATGTTCTCTACCTCAAAGGGGCAGGAGCACCGGTGGGTCCCTTCAGCATCATTTGTAACATTATGATAGTTTGCCTGTCTCCAGGATGAACTTGAAGAGCAAGCCCACAGCTGCTACTCATTTAGAGCCGTGCTGAGGCCTGAGAAGCTGCTCTGAAGGGTGTTCTGCAATCAGTGAAGAGACGGGAGGATCAGAGCCAGACCTTTATAAATCACAGTGTCACCAAAGTTGCAAAACCAAGTGCATCTCCTCTGCACCGAGACAGAAATGACAAGTGCATGCTCTCCATGTTCCCAGACCAGGAGAATGGAGAAGCTGCATCAGCATCCAGGAAGTCTTAGGCCTGGTGCTGCTTATGTAGCTCTCCAGTGTTTGTAGGTTGGTGATTGTCCCTTCTTGCCAAACAGCCTGGGGTTTTCTTTTCTTTCTTTCTTTCTTTTTCTTTTTTTTTTTAAATTGGGAAATGTATCTTAACATCTGGGAGTCATTTGTAGCCAGCAACCAGCACCAGGTTTTCATGTATCTTCTGTCATTGTTTAGCCCATGACAAACACACTGATTTACCATGACAAACTTCTAAAACGTCTCTCCCTTTGGCGGTGACTTATGACAAGTTCCAGTAACAGAAAATTCTTCTTGACACCATCAGCTTGAGTGAGAGAAACAATGTTCTTCATTTCGCTTTCCTGTTTAATGCCGTTAAAACAGGAATTTGAAGAGGTCTTGAGCAGGTATAGCCATTGCCAGTCTAACTGGAGGTGTCCTGTATGTGTGTGTGTGTTATGTGTGTGCATGCATGTGCATGCGTGTGGGCATGTGTGTGTGTGTGTGTGTGTGTATGAACAGTTGTGAATGTTGTTCCTCAGTAGTTATTCACCCTGGCTTTAGAGATGGATGTTAGGCTCGGGGGCCCTCCTGTCTCTACCTCTCCAGGTTTCAAAAGCATACTACCATGCCCAGCTTCTCTCTGTGGGCTCTGGGAATGGCACTAAAGTTCCTTGTGGAAATCATTTTAGTGAAGAGCAGTCTCCCCATCCCTGAGAAGTTAGCTGCTGCTATCAGTATCTTGTTAAGGTGTCACGGTCATGTTCATATTTTTCATTGAAAACCATAAAATATGGTTCTTAAAAGATTTAATAGCATGGGCTTGCCTCTGTGCCATGCATCTAGCCTTCATCGTGGTGCTGGGCTGACTCTGAGCTAATTAAGTTGGGCAGAATGGCAGACACAAGACGCCTCCTAAGGCAGCAGGTTTTTTTTTCTGCCTGACGTTTTATCCAACTTGTATCCCAAGTGCGTCATGATTTTTAATGTAGTTACACGTAATTCGGTGTAGTTACAGAATTAAAGGTCATGGCAGAAAAGAAAGAGGAAAATGAAAATAGATATCATATAATTACATGGACATGTAAATAATGATAGATGAAGCTAAGTCACCAAAGGCAATAAGAGAAATATGAGGTGGTAGGGGAGTGGGTAAGGAAAGATAAATTTTATAGGTGGTGAGTCTTGCTATACAAGGTCTTGAAAGATGAACCCAAGACACAAGAAAAGCAAAAGGTGAGATAGAACACTTAATTCAGAAATGGAAGATGGCCAAAATAAATCAACAGGAGAACCTAGAACGAGAAGAAAGATTCCTCCAGCTGGGAGTATGATGGGGGAGGAGCCTCCACACTGGGTGTAATGATAGGACAGCTGATTCTGAGGCTGAAGACTGGATATAGCTGGAACTGACTTTGTATGCCTTCCCTTGGGTGAGGACTAACTGATCATAAGAGCAAACCAGAAAGCCCAAGGCACAAGCTCTCTGCCTCTGCAGCTTGAATCTTCAGGTGGCTCCCTTCTTTAGCCATGGACAGTTTTTTTCTTACATCTTGTTTTCTTGTTCTCTTAACAGGATCTTCAAACTGGGTTTGTGTGTTTAATCTCCTTCATCTCCCCTTTCACTTTGGTTTCAGGTGGAGAGGAGCAAAGCTGGAAGAGAAACTCAAGCATTCACAAGCCAGTGAAGAGCACAAGGAATATTCCCCTTTGAAGTCGCCCGTGAAATAGGACAGTTTTAGGCTTGCCGTCACTAGATTTGCCTTGCCTTGAAAGCAATGTGATTAACATCTGACTGTGATGTGTCTGGTCACCTTCACATAAACAGAAAGTTCATATTAACTCCAGAGATTTCTTTAGTAGCTGTTAGTGCAGGATTTCCAAAGGTTCTCAACTAAGAATGGGCCTCAAAACTGTTAGCTTTGCTTACTTAAAGTGCATGACAATATTTTTGTTTACTTAAAGCAAATGACAATAATGCTCACACAAAGCCCAGTGTTTGTGAGTCAAATACAAAACTTCTCTTTCTCTATGTGTGTGCATATAGACATTTATAAATGCATATATAAGTATCCCTATAGAATCACATTAAACCCATCACTTTTCTTGTTTCTTACCCTTGGGACCAGCTAATCTTCTTGTAAAGAATCATCACCAAGAAGTAGTCACTTGCAGAACGTTGATAACAATTTCAAATGTTCATGCCTAAGGGAGGGAGACTGATTCTCTAGAAACAAATTTTTCTACAGCACCGAGCAGCCAAAATGGTTCCTTTCATGTAGTTATAGTACCAGAAGCAAGAGAAAGCTCAATTCTTCCATCTTGAAAAAATGAATGTGCTACTCTTTTTATATTTTTGTAGGGGTCTATTGCAGTCCCCTAGAGTTATCTTAATAGTGGCAAGAAATCATACATGGAGTGCTATGATTTCAAATGGGCATGACAAGGGTTGAAAAAATAGGTTCCCCTGGGGGCTCCTAGAGCTGGGAGAATAGGATTCCCTTGACAAATCATGGACATCTGTTGCATCTCTGCAGTTTCTGGAAGAAGTACGAACAAGATTAGGGTGGACTCATAGGGAGTTGTTTGGAGTCTTCTACCTACACTTTAATAGGATGTGTGAGAAACATCTGCCTATGGACCAGACATTTATTGCATTAAAATTACCCAATTACCCAATAGAGTGACTCTGCCCATCTATGACTTACTGGTTTATCTCCCAGTGTCTCTGTTTCGGCACACGGGTAAGATGACAGGTGGCATGATGTTCACTTTTGGTGTGTGACCTTTTCTGTTGTGAGGAAACTGGGGTTGCATGCACAAAAGCTCTGGATAAAGTTTCAACAGTGAATAAACTGGTCATAGTTCACACCAGTAATAGTAGTACTTAGAAGGCAGAGGTAGGGAATCAAAAATCCATGTTTGTTCTTGGCTACATGAGTTTTAGACCAGTCTGGGATACATGAGACCATTTATAAATAAAGGCTAGGAATTCCATTTTGTCGATTCTTTTTATTAAATATGTTTTATGGATTTGTTAGTGTATATGTGTGCACATGTGTGTCAAGAGGTCAGATACTCTGGTAGAGGCCAGAAGAGGATATCAGACCTGGACCTGGAGGGACAAGTATTTGTGAGCCATACAATGTAACTGGGAACCTGTCTTAACCACTGAGCCATCTCTCCACCCCATGTACTGTCAATTCCATTAAGAAGTCAAGAAACAAATTTGATTCTAATGTATCCCAGGATTTGCTCACCTTAGTTTTGTTTATGGCTAAACAGAAATCTGAGTTTGTTGCCAGTCTTAGCAGAGTTCAAAGCTAAATTCCTGCTTCTGGCAGCTGGATACTGACTAGACTCAGTTCACTGGAGTACCACAAGCTGGTTTATGCGGGCTGGGAGTAGCAGAGGGAATGATGACACCTCTCTTCTCAGGTTGTCGACACCCAGCTGTGTAAGAATGCTGAGCAAGTCACTCAGCTGCAGCTTCCTCCTGAGGGGCAGAGGTTGGGGCTCAGGTGGTCCTAGCCCAGGTGGGTACCCCTGCGGTGGGTGGAGAACTGATGCCTTGGAATGACTTCGTCCTTTGCAGCTTCCTCTCATCCCTAACTCAGCAGGACCTCAGCTCAGCTCAGTCTACTACTCCTGATCACTTTGAAGTCTTCATCTGTATCACGTGTAACAATAAAATTTGAGAAGGCCTTTGTGGTACGAAACCAGTAGCTCCCAACATAGGAAACAGGCTTCACTGAATATTGTGTTTCATACAGCACAAATTGGCATGGGAATCTCTACTGCCAAGAGCAAAACAAGACTGAGGATACGTGGTTTGGTTGGCATGGTGCTAGCCTAGCATGCACAAAACTTCAAGGGTTCAGTTCCCAGAGCTGCATAAACAAGGTGGGGTGGCACAAGCCTGTAATCCTACTTCAGGTTTGTCCTCTCCTACACAGACAATTCAAGGTCAGTCAGTTGGGGCTATTTGAAACCTTGTTCAAGAGATAGACAGACAGACACAAAAAAATTTCCCACTCATGGGAAATGGGAGAAATAAAACTCAAGGTGAAAACAAGGTTTCAAAAAATCCACAGACAACAAATGATGGTATCTTTTTATCAAGATATGCAAAAATAGCACACGGGGCAGAGAGTCTTGATCATAAATTTTTGTATTTATTTTAGATAGGTTATGTTTTTTGCAAATTATACATATTTGTGAGTGACTGTGTGTGTGTGTGTGAGTGTGTGTGCGTGTGCACACACGCATGTTGCTTTGGGAATGTTAGGTAAGTGCTCAGTTACATATTTCATACATAACTTCTTAGCTAGCCTTTTATTCTCTACAGATATAATTCAAAATGTGTCAAAAATTGCAAGCATGACTTGAAGAACTTAAAAGTTAATTCATTGTTATTACTATTGTGCATGTGTGTGATGTAGGGGCAGGGAGGTTCAGCATGCTGGTAGGTCAGAGGACAACTTTGTGGAGTCCCTTCCCTCCTATCCCCTCTGTGTGGGTTCTGGGGGTTCAACTCCATTGAAACACCAGGCTTGAACAGGAAGCACCTTTCTTCACTGAGCCATTTTGTATGTCTTTTTTCTATTTTTCTTTTTATTAAATTTTTTCTTTTATTTTACATTCCAACCACAGTTTTCCTTCACTCCTCTCTTCACATTCCCTCCCCCACCCTCTGTCTATTGCTCCCCCCATCACTCCTCCTCTACTCACATAAGGGCGGGCCTCCCATGGGAGTCGACAAAGCATGTCATATTATGTTGTTGCAGGACCAAGGTCCTCCCCTGCATCAAGCCTGGGCAAAGCATTCCTGAATGGGGAATAGGTTCCAAAATTGCATGCCTTTTTTTCAAGACTATCACTTACCAACTTTCTTCTACCCAATTGAGTTGGCCATTTCCCCAACTACTTCTGTCTCTTGCCAGGGGATCTTTTGGGAGTGAAATACATATATATCATGCTGATCCTAAATATACAAGAGTATGCTTTCTAAGCTGAGTGTTGTAGCACATGGCTGTAATCCTAGAACCCATGAGCTCTTAGTCATATAAATGGCACTATCAATTCATAATTAAATAAAATTAATATAATCTTTTCCTTTCAAAGGCTTTTTCCTTTGTGTATAAGTTACAAGGGTTCATCTTGATTAAATTGAGAATCACTAGGAGATTAGGAAAGTATACTCCTTGGTGTGTCTGTAAGCATGCTTACACTCCTTGGTGTGTCTGCAAGCTTGCTTACACTCCTTGGTGTGTCTGTAAAGATGCTTACACACAGAGAGGAAGATCCACCCTGAATGTGGGCAGGACTTTCCCATAGACTAGAGTTCTGAATGAGGAAAATGGTGACAGTCACCAGCACTCCTACACCCTGGCCTCAGCACGTGAGTTGCTCTACTCCTCTACTCTACTTGCCTCCCCCACCATGATGCTCTGATGCTTCTGAGTCCGTGACCCAAAATAAAGCATTCCTCCCTCCCTTCTATCTGCTGAAAGGTCCAGCTGTTACAAAAGTCCAACCTGGGTGATGAATCCTATTCACAAGTCAGGTCTCTGCTTTCCTTCCACTAAGACGAACCCTCAGTTTGTCTCTGCTTTTTTTTATCTGTTTTGTTTGGGTTTTATTTTTTCCAGTGATTTTACTATTTTTAAAAATCCTAGACTTGTTGCTTTGTATGACATCCCACACAGTATGTCATTGTGTTTCTGTCTGATGGTCACTCAACTTTTTCAGCAAAACCTCAGAAGATATTGTGCCTGTTCATGGCATCATCATACAAGGCAGTATGTGGAGTATGTCCCATTATCGGTGATGCTGAGTTAGGATTATTAACACTGTGTTAAGAAACAGATTTCTTCTTCCTACAGTTTCTTGAGAGTTTTTCATAAGGTAATACAAGTTTTATAGACACAACTGAGGGAGTCAATGGTTCAGAAGGGAAGCTTGTGAGAGAAGTAGATCGTTTAGTTCATTTAAAAGTTGACTCTAAAATCAACCCTAACTTAAGACAAAAGAGAAGCCAAGCATCTAGACCAAGCCAGGATGGCTGTGGCTGAATTCCTCTGAAATTGTATTCAATCTTGTGTCATGGCCTCTGTTCAGTGATAAAGAATGTGTCTGGTTTCTGTTCAGGGTTCTTGGTAGGAGTTTCTAAGATCCTGGGATTTTCCAAGTGATAGGGAGTGTCTTGGTTGTTCTAATTCCTCTACATCCTGCCTATGCTTGCCCTCAGAAGATGGCCCAGGATCCAGGCTAGTTACCAGGTGAACTCTGGGACTTGGGGCCTGGACCTTTTAAGAGACAGAAGCAGGGCTTGGGATTCTGGGTATTGATTGTATTATAATTTTATGTGTTGGTATTTAGTAATGAGATTTCATGGTCATGTAAAGAAGCCCTAGTAAAAACTCTACTTGTAGAAACTTGGTAAGGTTTCCTGACTGGTGAACACATCAATGGACCGGTGGAAGGGTGTTCATATACCAGAGCAAGACGTGTGAAAGGGACAACTTAAGTGAGAAAGAACTATTGACCTTGGCCTTGGGGATGCCAGCCTATCAAGGATGGGAAAGTGTGAGGTGGGAGCTAGTGGCACAGCTCATTAGCCCTCTGGTAGATCTATAACAGGGAGTCAGACCTAGGTCCAGGGGTGGGCTAAACCTTCAAAAGCACCATAACCCACATCCTTCAGCTGTGCCAACTTCTTGAAGGCTCTGCCTCCACACGGAGTCCCACAAGCTAAAGACAAAGCTCTCAACACACTTCCCTGAGGGGAGCAGTTTGAATCCCAATCTTGGCACAAGTGAGCAGTTCTACAGTGGGAAGACCCAGAAGCCCCACACCCAAGACCCTCTAGAATGTATCTTGTGCCTCCCTGCCCATGGCTTGTTCTTCCCTGTGTCCTTTAGAGTAAAGCTACAGTCAGTCACACTTGTGCTGCTTCCCTACACTGCGGTTTGTTCTAGTGAGTTATCAAGCCTGAGGGATCATGGGAACCCCTAGCTTGGATAAATTGACTGGTATGCTGGTGTCTGAAATGAGGGCATCCTGAGTAGTGTGACCTTCAGTGGGTCAGTCTGAATTTTACTAGACATAGCTAATCCCAGAACTGAATTGCAGAATAGCAGTTGGCATCAGAGCAGGCTCTTCTGCGTGGATATTTCACATAGTTTGTGATAACATCTGAACTTACGAAAGCTTTAATTACAGGGCTGGGGTTATAGCTCAGCGTCAGAGCACTTGTCTAGTATGCATAAGGCCCTGGCTGATCCCTACATCACCACAAATCGAGAAGGACAGAGAAAGAGACACAGAGAGAAAGAGAGACAAAGAGAAAGTTTTAATTATAACTAATGTGCATATATATGTACAAACAATGATTCATTAGCATACATGTACACATGTAAATATGGATTAAGCATATAGCCCATCAGCAAAACTCCAAAAGACAGATGTTCATATCAATAGTTTCATTTCTAATCCTTTAGCTAAAGGATCCCAGACCATGTTAAAAATTCTCTCCTTCCACATCAATACTTTAATGACACCAAATATTTACTTAAAACTCACCTGGGTTTGCATTATAAAGAAATGGTGAGTGGAGAGCAACTGACAGAAGTGCCCTGAGGTATTCTGGGGAAAGATTTGCTCTACCATAGGTTTCTTTGTTAGGCTGCAAGAGCAGATAACAGGTAAAACGTTGTGTCCTACTAAAACGGGAAAGCTTGCCATTTTAGGAAGGAAGTAGATCCTTCCATACACATGTGTCCTTTCCCCCATTAGGAAAATTAAGAGAGTGCTTTAAAAAGGTGATTTGGGGGTTTCCAAGAGAATAGGTTGAGGGTTGAAGTTCATTGCTACGTTTTTGGGAACGATGGCACAGCTATCCCATGAAGACTTAAAACCATACTGAGGGGCTAGGGTAGTGATTCAGTCTGCAGAGCAAGTCTGAAGGCCTGTGCTGTCTGTGTTTGACCCACAAC